AATTATAATCATTAAGGCCCCAAGGGCAGACTCCATTAAATACCAGTGTGTGTGTGTGTGTGTGTGTGTGCATGTCGCACAGGATGAGATGCATTAGCTCCAGCAGCGTCAGGCTCGCCGTGCCAAAATGAAACCCGAGAATCTTAATGTACTTACATAACGGAGCACGGACGGAGGCCTACGGGAGCGGGATTTTTCTCCCCAGAATACAGAGATCAAGCCACATTTCTGTCTGCAAAAGGATCTGAAGTATGTAATCTCTTCTATGACGTAGAAGAGACTCAAAACAGGGCAGGAACATCTTGCAGTTTGACATTTGCTTTCAACGGCACACTATTATGCTGCTATTTTTGCACCTCATCGTTTGTTTACTGTGAGCAAACTGACATTGTTTACTATGAATGCTATTGGCTTCGTCACAGATTGCTTATGTAAGTTGCTTGGGATGTAATCATCTGCAGAATGCATAAATGCAAGTTGTGCAATTGCATGCATTATGGATGAGGGAAATGCCTGAATGACCTATAACGTTTAGAGTTCAACGGTTGTTCTGTCAGGACCATAACATAACACTTTTTTGTGTTTCTCTTTTTTATTTTTAAGTTCCTGATTATTATTAACCGGTCACTTTGCTTTCAAAATGTGCTCCTGTTAACTTTTTATATTGCCATTCATCTTTACATTTCAAATCATTTTAACCCATAGACTGATACAACCACAGATTTCAAAATAAAATAAAATTAAAAAATAAAAATAAAATAAAATTTTATTAAATTTAAAAATAAAATAAAATTTAATTAAACAAAATAAATGAATAAATAAATTATTAAAATAAAACAGAAATAGAAATAAAAAACTAATTTATAAAAATAAATCAGTAAATAAATCTAATAAAAATTAATAAATAAAAATAAAATTACATAAAAATTTTAAATAAATAAAATACAAAATAGTAAAAATAAAATAGAAATAGAAATAAATAAAAATAAATATATAAAAATAAAACAAATAAATTAATTATATGAAATAAAAAATAAAACAAAACTAAATTCTAAATAAATACATTTAATTTAATTAAAAAAATATAATAATAATAGAAAAATAAAAAATCAAATTAAAAATAAACTAAATTAAATGAAATGGAAAAAAATATTTAAAAATAAATAAATAAATAAAATGAAAAAATAAATAAATAAAAACAAAACGACAAACATAAAAAAATAAATAAAACAAATAAGTAAATAAATAAAAAAAATACAAAACACAAATAAATAAAACAAAATAATAAAATAAAAATAAAATAAAACAATATAAAATAATTATACAATAATGAAATCATGACCACAATATGAGCTAAATTATGTCAGAAAAGAGTCACTTTCCAATTGTAGATTCCATATATTGCCACAAAGCCCTGTATACATAAAATAAAAACTTTTAAAGCAAATATCAGGTTAACTGGAATAAAATATAAAATAGTCATATTTAAGTCTGGGATTAACCAGTACATTTTTACAGTAAAATTACAGTAAACAGTACATTTTACTTTTCACAATATTTATTTGTAGACATGTATAACATTTCCGCTTATTTTTTTATTAAGCATTTATGCAACACATAACAAACATTTTAAAAATTATACAATTTCTTATTTTATGTGTGAGAAAATTTGGGTAAATATTTAAAAAATAATAATAAATATTATTATTTAATATTTAATATTTTTTATGTTATTATTTTTTAGTTTTCATTTATTCATTTTCCTCCGGCTTAGTCCATTTATTCATAAGGGGTCGCCACACCCTACTTATTCAGCATATGTTTTACGCAGCAGATGCCCTTCCAGCTACAACCCAGTAATGGGAAACACTCTCACATTCACACACACACACACACACACACACGCACGCACACTACGGCCAATTTAGTTTATTCAATTCACCTACAGCGCATGTCTGTAGACTTGTGGGAGAAACCGGAGCACCCAGAAGAAACCCACGCCAACACGGGGAGAACATGCAAACTCCACACAGAAATGCCAACTGAACCAGCCGGGACTCAAACCAGCAACCTTCTTGCTGTGAGGTGACAGTGCTAACCACTAATCCACGATGCCGCCCTAATGAAAATTCAGTATGATAAAATGATACAATGCAAAAATCAGATATGGGAACTCATTTACAATAAACATTATGTATATAAATAAATATAAGAATTCATTCAATTGACTCAATGCATCTCAAGCGAAGGTCGTTCAACAGGAAACACTTGAGCATGTAAAGAAACACAAGGCCTTTTTCCCCCCATCTGAAGCTTTTCCATTTCTGGAAGCTGATTTTAGCGTGGATCAATAGCTGCTGGTCTCGAGTGAATCAATACTAATCTACCTCATCTTTGCCTAAATGATTTCAGCTCTTAATGACCCTTGAGTAATGAACACATATCCCCAATTAAACACGGGCTTATCATCCAGGCCAGACGTTAGCTTCTAGCAGCTTTATTATGCTGTTTGTGTGTTTGTTTTATGTTTGTCTGATTTGTTTTTGTCTGATGGGCTTTACTTGAATACTGTATAAAATAGGAAATTACCTTTTTTACCTCTGTACAAAATGCTGGATTTGTTGTTTTGGGACAATATGAAGGAATTAGGTTATTCATTCATTCATTTTCCTTCAGCTTAGTCCCTTTATTTATCAGGGGTTGCCAGAGCGGAATGAACCACCAACTTTTCCAGGGAATAATTTTTGTTTCAGATTTACTAAATAGCAGTGGTGAGATTTATACTTTTCAGGAACGTCTTTCTTCTTCAGGGATTGTTTTTTGCATAATGACAACAAAATTAAATCAAATTAAAATAAAATATAAAATAATCTAGAAATAAAAAAAAATTAATTAATTAAATAAAACAAAAACAAATATATAAAACTAAAATAAGTAAATAATAAAATTTAATAAAAATTAATAAATAAAAATAAAATGACAAAATATATAAATAAAATAAATAAAAATAAATATTGTTTCACATTTACTAAATAGCAGTGGTGAGATTTATACTTTTCAGGAACTTCTTCCTTCTTCAGGGATTGTTTTTTGCATAATGATTATAATTTGATTAAAATTGCATAATGATTAAAATCGGGGCTTAAATCACGCAGTCTGAACACAGCATAAGGCGTTTACTTGTATTTTATGAATCACCAAAGATGACGGTTTCAGCTAAACATCTATTGAATGTTCTAATAAAAAAGGCACTGTCTAATATGTTGTTTATAAATGTAGTTTTTGGGAGAGCTATCCATTCATGCCTAGTTCAGACTGCGTGATTTTAGCCCCGATTTTGGTTTGCCGACAGGTTTTGAGAAATCGCAGACAAATGCCTGAAATCACAGGCAAATCGCTGCTCGTGCACGTGAGTGACAATCACACAGTATGAACTATCAAAGAGGCGATCTGAGAGAATCGCCGATGAGTCGCCGAAGCCAGTGAGATATTTGGCATGCTGAATATCTGGAGCTGTCGGCAATTCAAATCATGCCGTGTGAAATGAGTTTTGACTGAAAATAACATCAGCGATCGCCTACAGCCAATGAGAGAGCAGCATTCACTTGTGTGTGTGTGTGTGTATATACCTGCTGCAGGCCAGCGGGAGGCTGGGGGAGAAGTTAAAAGCGCTCATTTTCGGTTTGTTTGGACCCACGAAATGGAGGAAAAACTAGTGGAGGTTTGACAGGACTCAGGAGCAACCGTGTCTGTTTGACGTTTCATACAGAAAGAAATTCGTTTTTTATCAACTTAAGTTGAGGAGAAATGGCTAATTCCCTTTAAACCCAGGTGAGCAAACATGTACATGTTCTACCCCATTAAAGGCTTCTTTCTTATTATGTAGTTAATAACAAAAGATATACCACGTGTTTTTGGCTGTGAGACGTAGTTTGGATGAAGTTGTCGGCGATTCTTCCTATAGTAAAGTCATGCAATGTGAATGTCCCTGTCGCCGATCCATCATGCAGTGTAAACAAAGCAGCGACGAAACGCTAGCCCAGATAGTCAAGCAGTGTGAAAACATCTGTGACACGACTACTTTGAAAATCATGCAGTCTGAACTCGGCATTAGGTGGGGTTTGCATCATTTGTGAATTACTCAATGACACAAACACTCAATGACATCTTACATTTCCTTTAATTAAAATGTGATAACAGTATGATTGATACATCACTAATATGATGTAGACCAGTTTCAACCCCAAATATTCATTGAGGTAAAGTTAGTTTTATATTCACACATTCTGACTTTTTTCCTTAATAATATGTCAGAAAAGTATTACTTGCAAATTCGAAATAGTGAAATCATATTAGCAGCCAATGACTATCAAAGTACATTCTTTAGTCAAATAAATAGTGCTAATGTTGTTAAAGGCATGCAATTTCAGACTACATAATCAAATTGGCGTGGTAAACAAACACCGTTAAAATGAACAAATGTGTGAAGATAAAACCAACTTCACCTCATTCAAGTATTAGTGTCCCTGCCAAAGCTGCTTACTTACTGTCTATAAAGGTAGAACATGTATTGATGTGGGAAATATTTATATAAATAAAGAAAGATGGAGTTGTATATACTGTAGATATACTTGTGTGTGATGTCTACATTGTTTCAGATGTTGTGTTAGCTCATCGATTTGTGTTTTAGTGGTGAGTATAGGGTTCAAGAACGAGGATGAGTGTGCTCATCTGGGCCAAATACACACGCACGTGCACGCAAACGAGAGCGCGCACCACACAAAGACGCGCGAGGCCGCGACTTATGTTCAACATAACTGAATAAGGACAAGCCAAATAAACCCAAACACCTCTTTAAAACTGCCTTTCATCGCAGGACGCTACACATCTGAAGCCCAGAGACTGCTGCCGTGCACTGCCTCTCGCTACACACACAGCATCACGCCTAGCTAGCGGAGCATTAGTGAAAAACACACACATAAACAAACGCACACGCTCACCTGGGTCAGTATCACCTGGCGGTGAATCATCACCTCCTCGTTCATAAGGCCATTCTTCGTCCCATATTTACCGCACAACAGCCGCCCTTTCCTCTCATATGCCCTGTTTGCTATGCTACTGCAGGAGATGCTACATCCTCTTTCCTGGGTACCAGGAGGCTGTAACCAATGGAAACGCTCCGTCAGATTGATTTCTGTTTTTTTTTCCCTTTGGTTATGACCGCGGTTACGTCATTCACCCCACCCGTGCACGCACAGCGCGTTTCCCGTAGACTGTCTGGACGTTGATTGGATGTCAAGATAGCAATTTGATGCTGATTGGTTTCTCCTGCGAATACTGAAAGTGATTTGACGACAGGACGGTTGGGCTTGGATGTGAGTGGATAAATGGATGGTCGGTCTTGGATGTGATTGGATGAGCTCATCTGACGCTGTAAAGTGCTTCTGGGAAACTGTGTTTTGACGGCTGAAATGTAAATAAAGCTCTAAAATGATGGCAAAATAACCGAATTTGTCATGTAGAGACTGACAGTTAGGAAGTGGTGTACTCTAGATTATTTCTAGCTTTTCAGATATGGGACATATTTATGCATGATTTTGCAACGTTTTATTTTTTATTGAGCCCGAATCACTCTTTTAAAATCATTTGAACCTATCTAAAATATGTCCTAAATATTCAATTAGCAAATACACTCACCGGCCACTTTATTAGGGACACCGGTCGAACTGTGCGTTAATCATGGCAGCAACTCAGTGCATTTAGGCATGTAGACATGGTCAAGACGTTTGCTGCAGTTCAAACTGAGCATCAGAATGGAGAGGAAATGTTCAAAGTGAACTTGAACGTGGCATGGTTGTTGGTGCCAGACGGGCTGGTCTGAGTATTTCAGAAACTGATGATCTGCTGGGATTTTTAAGCACAACCATCTCTCTAGGGCAGTGGTTCTCAAACTGTGGTACGTGTACCACTAGTGGTACGCGGGGTTCCTTCTAGTGGTACTCGGAGGAATGAAATATGTCATGTACATGCCAAATATATTTCAAAATTTATCAAAAATTATTTATATAATATGCCATACATGACATTTAGCCTATATTTCTGAGTTTATCTGCCATTTTTTTTAAACTGTGCAGAGTTGTAGCTGCTTTACTGGGCCTACTACGCTACTGTATTTCAATACTGCTCATTTTGGTGGTACTTGGAGAGAATTTTTTTCTGAGGTAGTACTTGATGAAAAAAGTTTGAGAACCACTGCTCTAGGTTTTACAGAGAATGGTCCGAAAAAGAGAAAATATACAGTGAGCGGCAGTTCTGTGGGCGCAAATGCCTTATTGATGCCAGAGGTCAGAGGAGAATGGTTAGACTGGTTCCAGCTGATAGAACGGCAATAGTAATCAAATCACTTTTATTGTCACATCATCAGCAGCACGTGTGTTATGATGAGTGAAAGCTTAGCAGTAACTCAAATAACCACTCATTACAACTGAGTTATGCAGAAGAGTATCTCTGAACGCACAACACGTCCAACCTTTAGGTGGAGGAGTTTGATGAGTCTCGATTTCTGCTGCGACATTTGGATGGTAGGGTCAGAATTTGACGTTATGTCCATCCCTTTATGACAGGGGAGTCAAACTCAATTCCTGGAAGGCCGAAGCCCTGCGCAGTTTAGTTCCAACCCTGCTCCAACACACTTACCTGTAGGTTTCAAACAAGCTTGAAGGACTCAATTAGTTTGATCAGGTGTGTTTAATTAGGGCTGGAACTAAACTGTGCAGAGCTGCGGCCCTTTTGGAACTGAGTTTGACACCTGTGCTTTATGACCACAGCGAACCCATCTTCTAATGGCTACTTCCAGCAGGATAATGCGTCATAAACCTCAAATCATCTCAGACTGGTTTCTTCAACATGACAGTGAGTTCACTGTACTCAAATGGCCTCCACAGTCACCAGCTCTCAATCCAATAGAGCGCGTTTGACATGTGGTGGAACAAGAGATTCACATCATGGATATGCAGCCGACAAATCTGCAGCAACTGAGTGATGCTATCATGTCAATATGAAGCAAGATCTCTGAGGAATATTTCCAGTACCTTCTTGCATCTACGCCACAAAGGATTAAGGCAGTTCTGAAGGCAAAAGTGGGTCCAACCCGGTACTAGTAAGGTGTACCTAATAAAGTGGCCGGTGAGTGTATGTGTAGGTGTAGCTTTAATAACGATTTAAAGGGGTAGTTCACACAAAAATGAAGATTTGCTGTTAATACACTGACCCGATTAGGCCATTCACGATGTACAGTAGATGTTTTTCCTTCAGTAGAAGATTAAAAATTACTTTTAAATGTTCGACATTTTTATGCACTTTGTGGTCTTACAGTGGTTGGTTTGGGCAAGACATGAAATATTCTTTACAACATTATTTATTACGAGTAAAAACTTGAACAAAACTCTTGCTACATGAGAGCTCAATGTATCATCGTGAGTCACAGGTATGAATTTTGTTACTGTACGTCTGTATGTTTTTTAAGCCATTGCATTTTACAAATCCTAAAAGAAGAAGTTTTGTTTAATGTTCTATTGAAGAAAAACAGCTTCAGAAAACATTACATTTGAGGAGAACTACTTCTTTCAAAACTTTATAATGATGCAAAGCGATGACTGCTCATGAATGCACACAGCAATGATCTGCTGCTTGATTACAAACCAATGAAATACCAAGAAACACTCTGTACAATTACCTGAAAATCTAAGGGATGCAGTCAAGTCATTCTTAACGAGAATTAGTAAATTTTTAAAAAGTTTGTATGATGGTGGCATGATGGCTCAGTGGTTAGCACTGTTGCCTCACAGCAAGAAGGTCACTGGTTTGAGCCCCGGCTTGGCCAGTTGGCATTTCTGTGTGGAGTTTTTGCATGTTCTCTCCTTGTTCGTGTGGGTTTCCTCCGGTTGCTCCCCCAAAGTCCAAACACATGCGCTGCTATATGAATTGAATAAACTAAATTGGCCGTACTGTACGTGTGTGAATGAGTGTGTATGGCTGCTTCCCAGTACTGGGTTGCTGCTAGAAGGGCATCCGCTGCGTAAAACATGCTGGAATAGTTGTCGGTTCATTCCGCTGTGGCACACTGCAAAAAATGCTTTTCTTACTTAGATTTTTTTGTCCTGTTTCTAGTCCAAATATCTAAAAGTTCTTAAATCAAGAAGCATTTTCTAGACAAGCAAAACATACTGTCTTGTTTTAAGAAATAATATGCCAAAATGAAGTGAGTTTTTCCTTAAATCAAGCAAAGTAATCTGCCAATGGGGTGAGCAAAATAATCTTATCACAAATCGAAAAACAAGATTATTTTGCTTACGCCATTGGCAGATTACTTTGCTTGATTTAAGGAAAAACTTTTATTTCTTAAAACAAGACGACATGTTTTGCTTGTCTAGAAAATGCTTCTTGATTTAAGAATATGTAGATGTTTGGACTAGAAACAAGACAAAAAATCTAAGTAAGAAAAACATTTTTTGAAGTGCAACCTCTGAAACAGAGACTAAGCTGAAGGAAAATGAATGAGTTGGTATGATCACTATCTGCAAGACATGAACAAACAGCACACCACAGATAAAACCTTAAAAAACAACCAAGCAGTTTATTAAGCAGTAAAATTAGACATATTACATAAGCAAAATGCAGAGTGTGAGTTTTGATCATCATAGTTTAATGTTGACAGGACGGGAAATGTACTCTTTATGAGACCTTTAAAGGGACTTTAAAAAGGTGTAGTTTCCATATTGCTCAAAAAACAGGCCACCGGATAGACTGAAGAGATATCAAGCTTCCCCTTTTACAAGAATCAGAATTCTTGACAACAGCATGATTTGACATGAAACAGAAATCTTCACACATTTTTTTTTTGTATAAAAAAAGATCATTTAAAAGAATATTTGTGAACAAATATTTACATATGTACAACAAATGACCGCAATTACATCAATGCTTTTGTTTTCTCAATGTGATGGAGCTCAGATGCACAATGCATTAAATGAGAGCTTTCAGTCAAATATGTACGTTAGATAAAAGTAAGCCCATGTGGCAGAATATACTCTACATTTAAAAGGATCGTTCACCCAAAAGTGAAAATTCATCCTTTACTGAGTCTTCCCTTGTTCCAATCCAGTTTGAGTTTTTATTTTTCTTTATTTCATTTTTATTTTTTTTAATACATGTTGTGCCAAAGTTAGCTATAAAGCTCATTTACATCTGAAGTCGATGGGCAGGAAGTTGTAACAGGTTTAACAATATAAAAAAATAGTACAATATATACCCACATTACAATACATTATAGTCAATAAAATGAAATCAAAAGAGTGGTTGCATATTTGATTAGCGATTCTGTTGTTTTGAACACAAAAGAAGATATTTTGAAGAGTGTTGGAAAACGTAACCACTTCCAAACACTATGGCGTCAGTGGCTACAGGTTTCCAACATTCACTGTAAATAAGGCACACAATTGATTGGTGTTGGGGCAACATGAAGGAATTAGGTTAGCTTAGTAGTTTTTACTTATTTAAGTGAGTAGAACAAGTGTGTAGTTTCAGCTCAATTTAATAAGTAGTTTGAACAAACAGCCAATTTAATTTGAGTTTTTTGGTGCTCCACTGGAAAAAGGTGGTTTGCCATTTCCAGTTTGGAGGAAACTCCTTACCCGTGGTGGAGGAGTTCAAGTATCTTGGGATTTTGTTCATGAGTGAGGGAAGGATGGAACGTGAGATTGACAGGCGGATCGGTGCAGCGGCTGTAGTAATGCTATGTTGTGGTAAAGAAGGAGCTGCGCCGAAAGGCAAAGCTCTCGATTTACTGGTCAATCTACATTCCTACTCTCACCTATGGTCATGAGCTTTGGGTCAGGACTGAAAGGGCAAGATCTCAATGCAAGAGTAGAGTGGCATGTTACACCCACGTGGCCTGTTTCCACTGAGTGGTATGGTATGGAACAGGTTGGTACAGGTCATCTTTATCAGACTTGCGTTTCCACTGCCAAAAGGGTACCGATGGTAGAGAAAGAGAAGCGGCTCGCGATTTGAAAGGCCTTGTGAACAACTACGAGGCACAAGGTAAATTCTGTTCTTCTTCTTAACTTTGTGGCTATTCGTCAATATGACGACAAGGTTTGTCTAAGCTCGGGTCAACCAAGGCTCGTTATTATATGTATACATCAATACGATGTAATCTCTTGGCTGGGTATTTAATAATGGCACTTCCTTTGTTTTTATTCTCCTGGCTTGTGCACGAGCTAGTGACGCTTCTCTGTCAATTTTATTGTGCTAGATATCCCTTCGAAAGGGTACCTAAAAAGTGGTACAATACAGTTCGCTTTTAGTTACCTTTTGACAGTGAAAACGGCCATAAAAGCAAACCGAACCGTACAGCACCACTCAGTGGAAACGGGCCATTATAGAAAGGGTGAGGAGCTCTGTCAACCGGGAGGAGCTCGGAGTAGAGCTACTGCTCATCGACATCGAGAGAAGCCAGCTGAGGTGGCTCGGGCATCTGTTTCGGATGCTTCCTGGACGCCTACCTAGGGAGGTGTTCTAGGCATGTCCCACCGGGAGGAGGCCTTGGTGAAGACCTAGGACATGCTGGAGGGACTATGTCTCTTGACTGGTCTAGGAATGCCTCGGGATCCCCCCAGAGGAGCTGGAGGGAGTGTCTGGGGAGAGGAAAGTCAAGGGTTCTCTCCTGAGACTGCTGCCCTCACGGCATGGCCCCGGAAAAGCGGATGAAAATCAATGAATGAATTTTTTTATTGTTCTTCTAAACATCTTATTTTAACAAAAACATCTTAACAATTTAACATCTTCAACAAATATCTTCACAACAAAACTCAAACTGGTTAGGAACAAGTAAATGATGGAGGAATGTTAATTTTCTGGTGAACTTTTAATTCAAATGAAGATTGGATTTCAGACTCTCTTGATTCTTTGTGTCCTCTCAATGACACATTTCTAAACAAATCTTTTGTTCACCTGTCCGCCACTAAAAATGCTCAAAAATCAGTATTTGGGCTCCTGAATGACGTGTTCTTACTGCTCTGTGTAGACCACATGGCATCAATCTTCAGACATGGTATACGCTTGGACAGAAGCTTCAGAAAATGACTCTGGAACTTCTTCCCCAAAAAAGTGTAGAAGACAGGACTGATGCAGCAGTAGAGATAAGCAAAGTTGCGAGTCACATACAGCGCGTAATCGAGAGCATTCGAGCAATCGTTCTGGACCTTGAAGTACGTCTTAATGGCTTTTAACAGGATGACCACATTGTAAGGCGTCCAGCAGATGAAGAAGGTGAACACAATGATAAAAATGAGCTTGACCGCCCTGCACTTCTCCATCAGTCTCGTGTACATGATTCTGATGGTGATCCGAACATAGCAGTACAAAACGATAATCAGAGGAACCATAAAGAAGAGGAAAAACTGCTGATAATAGCCGATAAGCTCCCACTTTGTGAGGAATGTCTGATTGTAACCGGTCATTTCGCAAAGCAAACCGTCTTCTGTTTTCATTACGTCGTACAGAACTATATCCTTGATGCTAGCCACAATACTGACCACCCAAACAGCGGCGGATGATCCGAATGCATATGCCATTCTCCTGCTCTGGGCTGCTGCGATGGAGTGGACCACGGCTAAATAGCGGTCAAAAGTCATGAGGGTGAGGAAAAGGATGGAGCTGTTGAAGCCGACTGAGTAACAGCTGCCGACAAACTTGCAAAGATTCTTACCGAAGATCCATTCGGATTTGTGGTAGACTGCCCAAAAGGGAAGACTGGAGGCGAAGATGAGATCTGATATCACGAGGTTGAGTAAGAAGATATTGGTGACCGTGCTGAGCTTCTCGAACTTGTAGATGATACACAGCACCAGTCCATTCCCAAGCAAGCTCAGCAAGAAGTTAATATAGTAAAACGCTGGAAGAAATGCAGCACTGAATCGAATCACATCGGCTTTCTTGCATAAAATTACCTCTGCGGTTACGATGCTGCCTTCATAGGTCTCCTCACTGTATGTCTCGTTGAAAAAACTCTCGAAATCACTCCAATTAGTGTCAACCATTTTTGGTGTCTTGCAGTCTGCTGGAATAAAATCGATATGATTAGTATGCATCTTTAAATTGAGGTTATTCTGAGATCATCATATGTTTGGCTTCACTCACCGATGGCTTGAGTAAAGGAGCGAGTGTGAAACTCTCCGCAGCTTAGAATAAACTGACGCAAGCGAGATGTAGGCTACCGAGAAAAACCCAGCAGCACACATCCTGAAACTGAAGAGTGTTTCAAATCCGACACCGTCAGCAGTACGCAAAAAACACTATTAATAGAATGACATGGAGCATTTCTTTTCATTTCCTTTAAGACAGAGAGTTGAGCCACAATGAAACAATTCAAGCAAATGTTTTTGTAATCCTAAGAGTTTCAATTGTCAGCTGCACAAATCAATCAAGTTCAAACCAGACTAAAATGCTACATGCATTAACAAAGAAAATAATAAATATTATAAATATTAATTATAAGAAAATAATAAATAGACGATAATAACTGAGGTTTGCACAGTCAACCGACAGCTACATTCTACCAGACATGTTCAAGTGATCAAACTGAAAAGTATACTCACCGGCCACTTTATTAGGTACACCTTACAACTACCGGGTTGGACCCACTTTTGCCTTCAGAACCGCCTCAATCCTTCATGGCATAGATTCAACAATGAAATATTCCTCTGAGATTTTGATCCATATTGACATGAGAGCATCACACAGTTGCTGCAGATTTGTCAGCTGCACATCCATGATGTGAATCTCCCGTTCTACCACATCCCAAAGGTGCTCTTTTGGATTGAGAGCTGGTGACTGTTGAGGCCATTTCAGTACAGTGAACTCACTGTCATGCTCAAGAAACCAGTCTGAGATGATTCACGCTTTATGACATGGGGCGTTATCCTGCTGGAAGTAGGCATCAGAAGATGGATACACTGTGGTCATAAAATGACATGGTCAGCAACAATACTCAGGTAGGCTGTGGTGTTGATACGATGCTTAATTGGTACTAATGGACCAAAAGTGTGTCAAGAAAATATTCCCCACACCATTACACTACCACTACCAGCCTGAACTGTTGATAGAAGGGATGATGGATCCATGCTTTTATATTGTTGACGCCAAATTCTGACCCTACTATCTGAATGTCGCAGCAGAAATAAAGACTCATCAGACCAGGCAATGTTTTTCCAATCTTCTATTGTCTAATATTGGTGAACCTGTGTAAATTGAAGCCTCCGTTTCCCATTCTTAGCTGACAGGAGTGGCACCCATTGTGGTCTTCTGCTGCTGTAGCCCATCCGCCTCAAGGATCGACGTGTTCAGAGATGCTCTTCTGCATATCTCGGTTGTAACGAGTGGTTATTTGAGTTACTGTTGCCTTTCTATCAGCTGGAACCAGTCTGGCCATACTCCTCTGACCTCTGGCATCTTCAAGGCATGTGCGCCAACAGAACTGCCGCTCACTGGATATTCTCTCTTTTTCAGACCATTCTCTGTGAACTCTAGAGATGGTCGTGCATGAAAATCCCAGTAGATCAGCAGTTTATGAAATACTCAGACCAGCCCGTCTGGCACCAACAACCATACCATGTTTAAAGTCACTTAAATCACCTTTCTTTCCCATTTTGATGCTCGCTTTGAACTGCAGCAGATCGTCTTGATCATGTCTACATGTCTAAATGCATCAAATTGGCTGATTAGAAGTTGGCATTAACGAGCAGCTGGACAGGTGTACCTAATAAAGTGGCCGGTGAAAACATTCTTGTTAAAAGTAGCAAATATAAAACAGCCCTTGAGTTTAAGTATTTTTAAATTTCTTTGTTTCTTTTTGACAGAACGATGCAAGTGTTACAAGCAAAAGAACTAATAATGAAACAATTCAAGTAAATGTTTTATTGTAATCCTAAGAGTTTCAAATGTCAGCTGCACAAATCAATCAAGTTCAAACCAGACTAAAATGCTACATGCATTAACAATGAATGAATAAAAAACATTAAATAATAAATAGATGATAATTACTGAGTTTTGCACAGTCAAACAAAACAGACGTGCTAAAAAAACGACAGCTAAATTCTACGAGACATGTTCAAATAGTCAAACTAAAAAGGGTAATTAAATATATATGAAGACAAATAGTAGTTAAAATGTTCCTATAAAAAGTAACAAACACAAAACAGCCCTTGGGTTTCTCAAATCTTAACATAAAGCCCATAGAAATTGCTTCACATCCCGTGCAGAGGTAGCTTGTCGGGCAGTGCAGTGGATACAGTATAGTTTTCTTATAGTTTTCTGTAAAGGAACAGTTCATCCAAAACAAAAGCTAAAACTGACAAATAAATTGGTCACAGGATGAATGAGAATCAATGATCTACGTACAATACGCAAACAATGCGCAATGTTTGAAAGCATTTTCACCAAATACTGATATACGTTTTAGTGTTTCCAGCTCAAAGCTACTGTATGGCTTCAGAAAAGTGACTATTTTTATGAAGCTAGCTGTGTCAGTTTTTTGGAGCTCCCGATAATTAAATAAATAGCCGGCAGGACATGCGTCATGATGATTTTTATATAAATGAATAAGCATCTTAAACAGCTAGGCTCAAGAAAATATGTCTATAGTGACATTTTTTGCAGAAGTTAGAGTATATTACATTTCCTTTAGTGCATTTTACAGCAGTTTAAAGGAAAATGCCTAATGAGGGGCACTAAAATGACATTTTATTCAATGTATGGCAAGGAGAGAAGATGGTTCATGCCGCTGCAATTTAGAAATCACCTATAACAAATTCTAATTATAAACTGATAGTGTTTCTAACAGTGTATTTGCTAAAGCAACTATGCTACCTTGCTACCAGACGAGCTACTGAGCCATGTTCATTAAAAACGTTGATATTAATGTGAGGCATACAATTTAGTGTTTCACTGCCCCCAGTCTTCAATTTAGCTGTAAACTGAAGAGAATTGCTACTATAGGTATGTTTTGTAAAAGGGATGGAAGACACATGTTTTTTTTACAGTTAGCGTAAGTAGAAACACATTCAACACTAGATTCTCAGAGAGGAAAACAAGTCACACGTTTAAAGTCAAGATCGTGACATCATACTTTAGAGTAGTGTTTCTCAACCATGCTCCTAGAGGACCACCAGCACTGAAGGCTTTGGATGTCTCCTTTGTCTGTCACACCCATTTTCACCTCTGCTAATGAGCTGATGATGTGAATCAGGTGTGTTTGATTAAGGAGACATGGAAAATGTGCAGAGCTGGTGGTCCTCCAGAAACGTGGTTAAGAAACGGCTTTAGAGGTTGTAAGTTCCTGAGGTCAATGCTGAGCACCAGAAATGTCCATTTGAGAAAGAAAAACAAACTGTACAGGATCATCCTGACCCTAAAAGTTGGGTCCTTTCCTGAAAGGATCGTCCCGAAAGCCATAGGCTTGATAACAAGAGGATGGGTCACAAACACCCATAGACCCTGGGGGCCCACGTTTGCCTGGGATGCCCGGAGTGCCAGATTTCCCTGGTGGACCAGAAGGCCCAGGATATCCCTCACCGTCATCCCCACGTGAACCTTGCAATCCTAAGAAAAAGATAACATTATTTTTGGACATACTTGCAAAGACAAACAAACAAATTAAGACTTATAACACTTTAGTTTAAGTACTAATTTTCTTATTTTCTGTATATAATTAAGATATTAACTGTTTATTAGTCCTAATAAAATATGATCTTTTTCTACTTCTCCAGTCCTGTTCAAAACCTAAACCCAACTACTACTTTAATAATTATTATTAAGCAGCAGTTTAGTAGATTGTTGAGCTAAAAGACTTATGCTGCGTCCCAATTCACATACTATACGTCCTAAATTGTATTTGAAAATAGAATTAGTCTGTCCCAAATCGTAGTATGTTGAAAAGAGTATGCCAAAGGTTCTGGGAGGGTTTACTATTTCCAGTAAAATATTTAAGTGTAGTAGCGTCCATACTCTAACCGCTGACACCGCCCACAGTACATTGCAAGTTGGACGAGAATTTGATTAGAACTACAAACGCGGGTGAAAAGTGTAAATAAACTTCAAACATGTGAGACCAACTCTCAAGTAGAGAGGTTTTGGTAAAGATGTTTGTATGACTGTTAATTAATATCTGGCCCACTGGAGAATATTTAAATGGCGTTTTCTGTCATATTTTATCTGCAACAACAATGTGAACTGATATAAAGACGTGTTTGGACATTAACCGCTGAATGCAGAATTATCTAAAGACCTGAGGAGATTTCTCTGCATGAAAGACTTGTGAATGGCAGATTAACCTGCTGCTGCTTCTCCAATAAGGTAGGAAATGAAATATGACAGAAATGTGGATGATTGACAGGGCTCATAACTAAGCAACGTAGCGATCTGTTAACGAGGAAGTAGTATGTCCCAAAGCTAGCATATTCTTGTTACACATTCAAAAGTAAATATTTTTCCTTCACAAAAAAGTACATACTTTTAGGGCTTAGTATGTGTATGCGAATTGGGACGCAGCATTAGTTAATGGTTTGTTATGAAGCGAGAACTGTACCTTAAAATAAAGTGACCATAATAATAATAATAAATAACTACTGTCATGCATTAGTATTTTCTATTTATTTTTTTACCTTGTTGGCCAGGTGGACCTGGCAACCCAATTTCACCCTGTCCTTTAGCACCTTTTATACCCATCGGACCAATATCACCTATAAGAAAAACATCAAATCGTTTTAGTACTTGTCTCTAATCTTCCTGTGAATTTATAATCACAGTATAATCACCTTTGACTCCCTCAGGCCCTCTGCTGCCCGGAGGTCCTGGATATCCTGGAGACCCTGCCCTGCCAGGATACCCTGGTGGTCCAGATGGGCCCGTTGGGCCTGGGGGACCTGGATCGCCTGCTGGCCCTCGTTTGGTCTCACAGTGCTGGCAGCTTCTTTGCTCCATTGCCTGCAGGAGCTGTGGCAGCTGGGCTGTTAAGGGAATATCGCTTCTTAAAGAGACAGTTCACCCAAAAGTCAAATCTGTCATCATTTACTCACCCTTCCCCTATTACCTATTTGAGTTTCTTTCTTCCATTGGACTCAAAATAAGATATTTTGAAGAATGCTGGTTGATGTTGGTACATATTGACTTGCTATGTAATATGTTTCCTACTATGGAAGTCAATGGGCGCCAGATACAAGCATACAGTACTTACAGTATCTTCTTTTGTGTTCAACAGAAGAAAAAAAACATATCAGATGATGAGGTCATTTACATTTTTGGGTGACTTATCCCTTTTTGACTGGTATCTGGCATTAGAATAGCAAACAGATTTGCTAAACGGGGCAAAATAAATAGCGAGAGACTGCAATTGTATAAAAGAGCAGATGGGTGCCAAGATCTATGAGTATTTCTGCTGACAATGTACAAATTAAAGAACTGCAACAAAGAAGCTAATTTCCATAATCATTCATTCATTTATTTTCTTGTCGGCTTATTATTAATCCGGGGTCGCCACAGGGGAATGAACCGCCAACTTATCCAGCAAGTTTTTTACGCAGCGGATGCCCTTCCAGCCGCAACCCATCTCTGGGAAACATACACACACACACACAATTTAGCCTACCCAATTCACCTGTACTGCATGTATTTGGACTGTGGGGAAACCGGAGCACCCGGAGGAAACCCACGCGAAGGCAGGGAGAACATGCAAACTCCACACAGAAACACTAACTGAGCCGAGGTTCGAACCAGCGACCTTCTTGCTGCGAGGCGACAGCACTAGCTACTGTGCCACTGCCTCGCCCATTTCAATAATAATCAACAGTTAATATCTACCAACAATAATCAGTAACACAGGCACAACATGGGCTGAGACATCCTTTAAAAAATGGAGCAAATTCCAGTAATCTGACTACTGCAAACATCAGCAAATCATGTTGCGTAATTCATTTAAATAGTTCTCTTTCATACATTTAGCATCTGAAAGGAACACTCATACATGTACAGTATATGAAATAATGTTACTATAAAGTAGCAATAAAATAAAGTAGTTTCTTAGGACAAAAGAGGGCATATGTTGGAAATCCACATAAAAATCAGCTAAAGAGAAGTAAAAAATGTACATTAAAATTATCATTTAAATAATTCAGTTTTATTTTAGTCTTCCATCAGCAGTTATAAAAAAATTGGATATCACAACAAAATTTGTAATTAAAAAAAAAGTGCATGTTTTTGATTTATATTTTGATCATTTTCCTGGTCAACAAACCAGATTTACAAATAACTGAGGTCATCACCTCACACAAAGTACAATTTTATTGAATATTTGATTCTATTTAATTCAGTTCAATTCATGTTTATTTGCATTACACAGCGCTTTTTACAATGTAGATTGTGTCACAGCAGCTTATCATAGTTCTAGTAAGATTCTAGTGAACAGCGTTGTTCTATGGTCAAGCATTTTTGTACAACAAAGTCATTTTACATCCTATTGACCACTAGTTTGTTCCTGTTTCATGTCTCTAATCCTCACAATACAACATTCAATTGTTAATTAATTCCTTTACTTAATCTGAGGATCATTTTACTTTGTCGACCTCTGATAAATCAGGGACTAAGCCAAAGGATAGTGAGTGAGTGAGTGATTGAGTGAGTATTTACCTAATCATATGCAATGAGCAAGCACAAATGTTTGAGGTGGACTTTTGATTTTGCAATAATAACCATCTGACTGTCTAACAATATGTGAAAACATCCAGCATCATTTATAATGGTGAAGATGGTGTAATATACGCCAGTATAGCAGACATATTTAAAATGTAGTTTTGTGCTGGCTCAGCACATGGATTTCACAAGCTCTTTTAACCTTTTCCTCTTTTTTTCAGAGAACTGAAAGTTGCGTCAGTGCTAACACTATATGTTTTAGCTATCTAACCACGAGGCACACATCCACACATTTAACATAAACACAGTTGCTCCTGAGTATCTCAAGTCTTTCTTCCAAAATTACTAGATGGCAAAACAAAATGCTTATTAATAAAGAAACACTTTTAAAAATACTAGTGATGCTCTGTGGAAAAGTTATTAGACAGTATTGTGAGGTTGTAGAGGGAGAGAACTAAAAAAAATCTGGGTGTGGCTTTTGATGCCAATTTTACACTTGATCCACATGTGCGAAACACAGTCAAGACGTTGTTGTTTTTTAAATCTGAGAAACATTTCCAAACTTCATTCCATGTTGCCCTTTTCTGTAGCTGAAAAATTAATTAACACCTTAACTGCTTAGTTGTTGGCTGGAGTCCCAAGAACAATACCCTAAGCAAGTTACAATTAGTACAAAATTCAGCCGCTTTAAATTCTGACTAGGACCAGTGGAAGAAAACACATAACTTCTACTTTGAAAAGAAATTGCATTGGCTTCCTGTCCGTTTTCGAATTGATTTTAAAATCCTCACGCCTGTGTACAAGTCCTTGAATGGTCTAGCATCACAATATTTATCTGAGCTTTTAAATCCATACACCCCAAGTGCTTTACATTCATCTGAAGCTAGTCTTTTAACTGCACAGTCAACGCGACTAAAATCTATGGGAGATTGAGCATTCTCTTGGCACCTAATTTGTGGAACTCTTTACCCTCTGATACTTTTACTTAAAACGTACTTTTTTAGGGTAGCTTTTAGATGATTTTTAGATATACACTACCTGACAGCCTTACCTTGTCGCCTATACAAGTTTTAGGAACAACAAATAATAAGCTTTACTTCTAGTTGATCATTTGGTATCAGAAGTGGCTTATATGAAAGGCAAAGGCCTCTAGATTACACTTATTTTACCAAAGTAAAATATGATCATGCCATGATTGTTAATGATTTAATTAGGACAGTAAGGTCTGACTTTGCTAGGACAAAAGTCTTGTCGCTTAACATAAATAATGTCCAGTATAGAAAATAAAGTCATGCTGCAGTGGAAACAGAATGAATATTGTGTTTGACTCCCATGAGCTTGGAGGACTGCATCCAGACATCTCTGCAGACTCAAATCACTTATTAATAAAGTCATCTGGAATGACAAAGAAAGCGTTTTGCAGGACTCCCAGAGTTCATCAAGATTCTTTGGATTCATCTTCAATGCCTCCTCCGTCATCTTACCCCAGATATGCTCAATAATGTTCATGTCTGGTGACTGGGATGGCCAATCCTGGAGCACCTTGACCTTCTTTGCTTTCAGGAACTTTGATGTGGAGGCTGAAGTATGAGAATTAGCGCTATCCTGCTGAGGAATTTGCCCTCTCCTGTGGTTTGTAATGTAATGGGCAGCACATATGTCTTGATACCTCAGGCTGTTGATGTTGCCATCCACTCTGCAGATCTCTTGCATGGCTCCATACTGAATGTACGTAAACCCAAGCCATGATTTTTCCTTTACCAAACTTGACTGATATCTATGAGAATCTTGGGTCCATGCAGGTTCCAATAGGTCTTCTGCAGTATTTGTGATGATTGGGATGCAGTTTGACAGATTATTCATTGGAAAAAATCGACCTTCTGTCACTTTTCCAAATGATCAACTAGAATTCAAATTATTATTTGTTGGTCTTACAACTGGGATCAACGACAAAACTTTAGATATTGTATTAATATTATTATTATTTCATGTGTTTTTAATTATTGTTATTATTCAATTTTTTTTTGCATTCATCCTTCTATGTACCTTTTACTCCTGTACAATTTATATGTCTGTAAAGTGCTATGAGATGCTACTTTTAAAGGCGCTATATAAAAGTAAAGATTCTTATTAATACTATTATTAATATTATGTTGTGGCTGTGTTGCTAAGTTGGTTTTCAGCAAATATTGGTCACTAGGTTATAAATTCTTGCATAAGCATGATTTGTTAACCAAATGTTTTGCTTATGGTTATAAATTTGATTACAGATTGAAGCAAAAGTATGATCAAAAGTAATAGAGCTGCATATTTCATTAGGCATCTTAAAGGTGTCAATCTGGATATACAGACACCTCTAACTTCTAGTGAAAGGTTGATGCGACTATTTTAAGTTTCATGTTTCTTTTTTGGACTGGACATTATATTGTTTGAGCATCAATATCGCAATGTGTGTATCTGCAGTAGTCACATCGCAGGATTGGATACATACATATATATATATATATATATATATATATATATATATATATATATATATATATATATATATATATATATATATAAATAATTTTCAAAATGATGACCATGTTATTTTACATTTGATTGTTCAATTTCTTTACATGAATACTGTTAGGCTCACCAGAAAACCATAAAGCACTGTTTATTTCTTTTATTTTTGCTAGTAATTTATTATAATTCATGCAAATCCACTGCAAAGATAAATACTTGATCATCCCAAACTTATTGAATGAAATGTTTCCAAATAGAGCTATTCAATCATCATTCACCACACTGAACTGAGCTAAACTGAACTTAAACACTAAAAACTGAACAACTCTGTTCCAATTACTATGACCATTTATGTGAAGCTGCTTTGACACTATCTACATTTTAAAAGCGCTATACAAATAAAGCTGAATTGAATTGAATTGAATCTGGTGAAATTGTATTCTTGTCACAATATATATTATGTCAAAACAAAATATGACATCAAATTATTCCAATATCGTGCAGCCCTATTCCCTTTACGGCATAGATTAAAAGTAATTGAATCAATTTATGGTGACTTTAAAGACATGGCATGAAAAACTGGAATTTAAAGCAGTGCTTCTTGTGCAGTGTGAAACCTACTTTAAACTGTATCTCAATCAGGCAGTGAGTATTATTGATTTTAAACAAACTAAAACTTATCTAAACTTATATAATACTTTCTATGTATGTGGGACTCTTATTTTGAAAATGGGACAGGTTTTAAGTTAGAATAAAGGAGTGGTTTTATGAAGCAGGCAACCGTGCATGACTGCAGAGTGCTCACAGCTCACCACAATGCAAAATGCAGGATATACAGATTATAAATATTTTTAGCATCACCCCAAAGAGGCATACGGTCTGTTTAACTGTATCTTTTGTTAGGATATGTATATGATGAAATGTGTCACATTCATTTGTAATGACGCAACAAACACATGTAAACTGCTTTATATGAGTATTTAATGTATGTTTATGCATCATGTCATACCACTCAGCTCTGACTATCATGTTTTTGGAGTGAAAGCATGCTAACTCGTAAAGGTTGATATTAATTCCTGTCTGTGTTTTCACATGTTACAACATTAAATACACAAAATACAACCTCAAATGTATCTGTCAGCCCATTTTGTCCAGTATAGTTGAAATGTAGCCTATATTTCGTCCATAACATAACTTTTTCTGGTGTCAAAAAGACACACTCCTTCTAGCTAAAATAAACCTCGCCACCACTTTAGCTGAAAAGATTTTACAAGGAATCTACTTAATTTGTTAAAAAATAATTTAACAACTGAAGCATGATTAATGTACATGTGTGTAATTCTGAGTATATCCCGCCCCTGTTTGTGTCTGTTTTTGTTTTTGAGAGTGTCAGGCACTGACATCAGGTGCTAGACCGTCAGAGCAGACCTCATTAAAATTTACAACCCTTCCAAATATGGTCAAAACCAAGCATACCATAATAGCGCCAATTCTTAGGATTGAGAATGAACCTGTAAAAACCTTTACTGGATATTGTTTGCACTTCCCCAGGCCACATACCTTCAATTTAGATATAATAAAACTATTTAACCTAATGTTACAATGCATTCTATGGCACCTTTAACGATGTCAACTTCACAATTTTATTGCAGTGAAATGGGAGTCTTACCAGTCCATTTGAACTTACTTTGAAGCACAGCAGCACAGATCTTCATCAGCTGCTCTTCTGAAGGCGGTTTTCCCTGTAACACACAGTGTGTCACATTTGAACAAGACCATCACTATCATGTACACTTTAGCCCCTTTCACACATACAGACCTTTCCGGAAAATTACCGGCAATTTTCCGGAAAGGTTGTATGTGTGAACAGGTCCTTTTTGAAAATACCGGTAAATTCGTTCTGGCTATTTTCCGGAAAGAGAAGTTGTAACATTACCGGCAATTTGCCGGAATGCTGCGCTGTGTGAACGCAGAAGGAATATTTCCGGAATAAGCGCGTGCACGTCTAGAACGTGCTGACGTAAGACTTCTGCTTTAGCCAATCAAAACAGTCAGACGCATTTACGTCCGCGCGGTTGGTAAGAATAAAAACCTTTGAATATTTTTCCAGACGCATTTAGCTGCTAGAAGTTAGTCAGATCACGTTTATATGTTCTCCTTAATGCCAACTGTGCAAATAATCATCGATAAGATGCTTATGATAAGCCGTTGTTTGTTTACCTTCAAGCTTTGCGTGTGCCCATGAAACAGCCTGTGAGCGGCAGCACACGCACATATTATGAACACCTCGACATGCAAATATGATCCTGTGAAAGTTGTTTACAATATTGATCATCAAAAGAGTTTGTAATTTAGTCAAATGTTTACAAATACAAGCGCTGCCGTTTAAAGCTCATTTGTGGTGAATGATGTCAGAATTTACCGGTATTTTGGAATGGATGTGTGAATGCTCTTTTCCGGAAAATTTCCGTAACGTCCTCGCCTGTGTGAACAGCGCTTTTTTGAACATACCGGTAAAGTCGTTCCGTAAATTTTCCGGATATTTTCCGGTATCACTGTGTGAAAGGGGCTTTTGTATAAATATTCATAAATATCACACTCACTGGTTTCCCTGGGTAACCTGGAAGTCCTGGTTGTCCTGGTAACCCATCTAGTCCTGAAAAGCCTTGAGATCCGGGAGGCCCTGGCAGACCCACGTCTCCTTTTTTCCCATCAGCGCCTCTGTTCCCAGGATCTCCAGCTACACCTGGCTGAGAGTAAGTGGAAAGGAAATCTCTATTCATTTCCAATGATGCAACAAAATGAATTCATAAATATCAGAAAGAAATACATATGTTTCTATGAATCCTTCAGCTTTTGGTCACATCTGATCATATGAGCAATGTAAAAAATTGTGATTGAGTTGCAAAAAGATCCCACAATGGTTCTAGCCTCAAAACCTTGTATCTTGTTTTAGTCTCTTGTAGGGAAGTGAGAACCCGTAAGATTGTGACTCATGAGGAACCGGCTGTGAGACTTTGACAACAGTTGTTATGTTTTGTACCTCTCCTTTGTTTCCTTTCAGGCCCGGTTCACCCTGTTGAGAAAGACAGAGGTACATTTCAGGTTTTAGGTCTAGTTCAGTTGATTTGCATATGTATATTATGACAAATGACAAATTTCATTTACACATACAGTAAATATTTTACACATTTTATAAGCATGACTTTTGAAATAAGTCAGGAACACTTTATTTTAATTTTAAGGTGATATAGTTACAGTGTACCTATTCTTTAACTACTTTTAATTAAATGGGTGGTCCAGAGTGTATTATTAAGGCTTGGTTGTATTTATAAAATGCAAAGCAATGTGAGCCCATGCTTCATTTGTAGAAAATCAGGTTATTTTTTCATATATCTTACTTTGATTTTATACTGCTACTCAGCTAACATGAAAACGACTGTCATATTTCCTTGTTCGTCTAAAGACCCGTCCTCAGGAGGCTCTGATTGATCAGCTAACATAATGTGCTGTGATTCGCAGATCAGCGCCACGTCACCAGGAAGCATCTCTGTTATAGCTTTACAGCGCCTTTGGCCACGCCCCTTCGCTGCGCGGGGTGTATGTGTGTAACCTGAAGGGTTTATGACATTATTAGCCCGGATGTATTTTTTGTAGTCCCTACACTTCGTTCGCTGTAGACTTTTCTAAGCTAACTCTGTAAAAGCCAATATCTCCCTTTGCATTGAACTTTGAACGTATAACATTTAGAGATGTTGTTTTAGTTCACACAGCTACATTACACATCAACTAAAGTTAAAATATGATATTGTAGTGGACCACCCCTTTAACTACATTTACCTATGGTTGGGGTTAGAATGTTGTTTAGGTATAGGGTTAGTTACATTTAATTATGCATAATTAATCGTTATAACAGTAAGTGCATGGAACATGGGTCACTACATCACCTTAATTTAAAGTGTTACCTAGAAGCCTGTTAAGTAAACCAATTCTGCACTCATCTAATTAAAAACACAACATAAACAGTTCAAATGGTAACATTATTCTCCAGAAATCCTTCTAAAAGGTGATTTGGTGCTCAAGAAATTGTTTCAATCATTATTACAGTGAAAACAGTTGTGCAACTTCATCTTTCTGTGGAAACGCTAACATATTTTTAGGATTCTTAGATTAATAGAAAGTTTGAATGAACAGAATTTAAAATAGAAACAACCTTGCAAACTTTAAAATGTTTTTACTGTCATTTTACCATACTAACCATATGTTTATGGTTTATGTCTTTACTAACCATAATTTTAATCATTTATTCTTTTAAAATTTTTACTGAGAGCCAACTGTTTAAGACTGTGTATAAATTTAGAAAGCTAAATTCACGTTAACTGAGTTAAACCTTTATATATATAGTCATATGTACAAGTGAAACTTGCTTGTGACAAGACTTTTTTACCACGATACTGCACTGCGGTATCATTATTTTCTTAGTTTCTTTAGTAGAAATATCTAAAAAGTTTTACATCAAGATGGAAGTAAAAAAAAAAAAAAAAATCCAAAATAACTCAAAATTATGAGTGTTTCTCCTTAAAACAAGCGAAATAATCTGCCAACGTATGAAAAAAAATTTAGTATTTGCTTTAAAATAATATTATTTCACTTACCCTATTGGCAGATTATTTTGCTTGTTTTAAGGAAAAAACTCACTTAGTTTTGACTTTTTATTCCTTAAAAACAAGACAATATGTTTTACTTGTCTAGAACAAAGTTACCCAAACCTTTTCTTATAAAGAGCCAAAACCCAAGCTTAATTAAAGGCTGTGGGCCAAAGTTGAATATACCAAATTGTATTACATTAAATTAGCCATGGATAATTTCCTAATTCATTTGCTAAGATTTTAAAATAACTAAAAAACGTTCCTTTAAAACACATTAATTAATGATGCAGTATCATTTTGAACTGTTTATAATGATCTCATTACTGTAAAAATATAAACAATCCCATTTATAACACAACAGGCCCGGATTGGCTAATCGGGAGGCCCGGGAGAATTCCCGGTGGGCCGGTCCGTTTTTTGGCCGCGAGGGCCGGTGTCCCTAGCTCCAGAATCTGTTGCTCTCAGCAGTCACACTTTTTAAATTAATTTATTTATTTACTTGACCACAGTCTTCTTATTCATTAATTTATGTATAACCAGCCTGCAGGTTAATGATGATATATATATGTTAGATGAGTCACCTCCCAATATATAACTGTTGTGGTCCAGTGGTTAGCAGTTTAGATTACGATGCTGCCGACCCGGGTTTGATCCTCGTTTGAGTATGTTATTTTTTTCATTTTTATTGTTAAGACATATAATACTGTTAGGGTTGTTGAACATTTTAATATGGTCAGTCATGAACTGAGGTGGGCCGGTCTGAGTCTTGAAACTCCAGGGCTGAAAAGGAGTCCCACTCCGGCCCTGTAACCTAATGGAGTTCAATGCTGAACACACTAGTCAAGCTGCTCCTGCCTTTGCCTTAATTTGCTCGCCGATGTCTTGTGCATCTGTCAAGTGACAGTATTTACATGTGAAAAGTCAGATGGGATGGCGAGCCAAACCAAAGTTTACCATGGGCCACCTTTAGCCTGCGGGCCCTACTTTGGACACCTCTGGTCTAGAAAATGCTTTTTGTTTAAGGAATTTTTAGAAATTTGGACTAGAAATAACACAAAAACTCAAGCATTTTTTACAGTGTGGGATGTCTATGTTATGTGTTTTAGTATTTTATAAATATTTTAGTGCTGCGCTAAGCTCTTTTGTATGCCCAATAAGTGATTATTTGCTAACCCAAGCTTAAATGGTCATTAGGTTTCTGTGAAACACTAGACTCTAGACTGAATCTAAGTCTGTGGGATATTATCATTTCCATTGCAGAAGCAATGTGGGTGTCGAATACTGCATCAAAGCTTAAGGCGTAGGTTTTACAAAGATATTCAAACTCATATCTAATAGTATGCTTGCATTACCAACATCACTAAGGAAGAATAAATACATACATGTTTTCCATTGACTCCAGGTTCTCCTTGGTTTCCTTTCTCGCCCTGAAATAAGAGTTTTAAGTGTTGTCATGCTTTAAAATATACAGTACAGTATTATAATGGGGAAAAACAAGCATGCAATAATTAGTCTTATTAAAAAAAACACAAGATCAACCAGTCTGCTTCGCTTTCTTACTACAACAGAGTGTGCAGTTCCAGAATAGGTCAGCTTTTACAAGTAAAACCAATGTAGAACAGCTGGTATGTCATAATAATTCATGTTATGGAAAACGCAACGGCAGTAACACCTTTTTTTTTTCACTTCCTCTTTTCTCTCTCAGAACATGTTTCTTTTCAACAAAGGGAAATTAAATGTCACAGATGTCGATCACACTATACCTGACTTCCTTTCGGTCCCAATGATCCGGATTCACCCTGCAAATATAAAATGATGGCATTTAACCATGCAGAAGAAAAAAAATAATAAAGTATTTTGAATAAAACTATCAAATGCAAAGATTTTGTCGAGATTGCAATAATTAACAGTAATTTGGCAAATTTTAATTTAAAATATGCACGCTCAATGCTTATTCTGAAAAAAATATTGCCCATTTTCTTTGCCTAAAGATGCTTTCTCACTAGCTATTTTCCATCCACCTATCGTTATGTGCATTTTGGTGATGCACATAAAAAAACGGCTTATGGAAACGTCAAGATGCGCATATATTTTTAAAATGTGCCTAAAACGTATGCGCATAAATGAGTAGGATAAACGTCTTATTTGCTTATTTGATAAGAAAAGATGCGCATAAACTATAATGGAAACACTTTTACTGAACAAATTCCAGTATGTGCATTAAAAAGGTGATGTGATTTTGTTTTAAGACATCATGTGATTATAAAAATTAGTGTGAATGGATAAACCAGCAGGCTGGGCACATTGTAAAACATCTGAAATGTTGTTTAGGTCATTCTGAAAAGCCTTAACCATTTTAGAATTCATGAATTTCCTCCAGAATTGTCAAGAGCATCTGTGCTCTGCGTGTCACGCCTTCAAACACTACCAAGCCTACATTGTTTGTCAGCATACTGCCTTCTGAGGTGCAAATAATTTATTAAATAAAGAAAATTCAGTTTTTACTATTGATATTTGCCACCAGTTAATCAGGATGTGATGATTTTGTTCTCTTTGACTCGTTGGATGGAAACGCTGCTTTATTCGCACAACATCCAGTTTTGCGCATTAATTTAATTTGCATCATGGATGGAAACATAGCTATTGCCAAAGGATACCATTAGAAAGGAAGTCGAAAGGAAGAATAGAGAAGAAATTATTTTTGTGGGAGGGAAAATTAGTAAAAAAATAGAATGATTTTTAACGATTTGTTTTTTTTCACATTTTAATGGTAGAAAATGGACGGAGGGGGGTCTAGAACCTGCAACATTTACTAAAACAAAATGTGTGATTTATGTGACAATCAAAAACCCTATGTATTTTGTAAATGCACATTTATAACTCTTCTAGTGAATAATTTGTTTTACTTTTTGTGTGGCGTTTTTTTATTTTTTATTTCTTTGACAGGTTTTTTAAGCTTCTTTGAAATGTTTGTTTTAATTGCTTTGATTATGTGTTGATTTGATGTGGATTTCTGTCAATTATTTGTTTACTTGTTGTCAATTGATTGTTACCACAGTCAGCTCCTGCTGATTGATTGGGGTGATGATTTAAGTCTGGCTTATCAGCTGTTTCTAATCTGTAGTTAGATGTTCTAAGATGAAGATGTATGTTTAAAGTAGGGCTGCACGATATTGGAAAAATCGAACATTTCGATATATATTTTTATTCTACGATATATATTGTGATAGGAATACAATTTCACACAATGCGTTGAATAACTATTTGGAAAGCATTGATCATTTTAGATTGTTTGGGATGATTCTGTAGCGCAGTGCAAACAATATAAGAAACAATCTACAAGCACAGATCAATTCAATAAAGAAAAATATGCTAATTATGTAAACAGCATTTTACTGTTTTTAAACTGAAATCAGGTATACAGTCGTTGAATAATTAAATGCATAGTCTTCCTTTTGTAAACAATTTAATCAAATGAATCCTTATTTATTTGTCAAAGCTACAAACAGTACAATTTCTTATGCCTGAATGCTTTTAAAACCCTCACACACTGCAAAAAGTACATTGTTGAGAAAACACAAAAAATAAGGCAACTTGATGCAGTAAGAACTTTGAGTTATCCCAACAATTGTTTTTAGTTTTTCAGCATATGTGTTACACAGCGGATGCCCTTCCAGCTGCAACCCTGTACTGGCAAACATCCATTCACACTCAGACACCTGTACCTCATGTCTTTGAAGTGTGGCGGAAACCGGAGCACCCGGAAGAAACCCACGTGAACACAGGGATGCCAACTGACCCAGCCCGGTCTCGAACTAGCAACCTTCTTGCTGTGAGGCAACTGTGCTACCAACTGCGCCACTGTGTCACCCCTCATTTAAGCAACTGATAAACAAGCTTAGTTTTTGATCGTCTTTCTATCATCGATTTTTATGTAATCAATTCTTATTCTAAATTCCTAGTATATATGACAGAAAGAGTAAAGTGTGCTGAACAAATGGTGATTTTGTTTTTTACAGTGCAGTCACAGGCCTCAAAAAACACTTGCAAAATGATCAATTATAATCCAGACTCAACATTGCAGACCCTGCGATGTGATTATTGTGAATGATCACATTGCGAAAATGATGCTGAAACTATATATTGTGCAGCCCTAGTTTAAAGCCTTTGGAAATGTTTGTATGTGATGTGTTTTTGTGCCCTGATGAAGGCTCTTAAAGCCAAAACACATTGACATTTATTTTTATTCCATCACATTGTTTAAGTGTTGCTGGAGTTCCTTATTTATTTATTTTTTTACTATTTTTTACTGTTAAAATGTAACTTCTGCATTTTTTAAATGAAAATGTCATAATCTTACAGTAAAACGAATCTCTGGTGATGCAGATGGAACTTTTCCAATCATTTGGTCAGCTTATAACCTTGGCTTCATGCAACTAAGCAGAAAACTAAGCAAGACACAAAACTAAAACGGCCCAATTTTTAATTTTAGCATTAACATCCACAATAGTCACATCACATGATGTGCAATGTAGAGTTATTATAAATTCTAACCATAATACAGTGAAAGTTTTTCATTTGCATTTGAGTTTAACCATTTAGGTACAAAAAATATGATATAGTTTATTTTATTATTTTTTATAGATCAAGTATTTAAAATATATTGAATTATTTATACAATGAAAACTATACAGTGTTATATTGCAACTGATTATTCATTTTCTTTACCTAAATACTGTCATGTTCTCCATCAAACAATAAAGTACTGATTATTTCATTTGCACTTTTGCTTTTGTTGTATTTATACAGTATTTGCTTATTATATTTTATGCAAATGAACTACCTACAAAATCATCCCAAATAATCTAAAATTCAAGACATCAGGTGAAATTGCATTTATCACTATATATATATATATATATATATATACATACAGTTGAAGTCATAATTATTAGCCCCTCTGAATTATTAGAGCGCTTGTTTAATTTTTCCCCCAATTTCTGTTTAACGGAGAGAAGATTTGTTTCAACAAATTTCTAAACATAACAGTCTTAATAACTCATTTCTAATAACTGATTTATTTTATCTTTGTCATGATGACAGTAAAAAATATTTGACTGGATATTTTTCAAGACACTTCTAGGCAGGTTAGGGTAATTAGGTAAGTTATTGTATAATGATGGTTTGTTCTGTGGACTATCGAAAAAAAAAATGCCTAAAGGGGCTAATAATTTTGTCCGTAAAAGAGTGTTTAAAAAATTAGTAACTGCTTTTAAAATAAAATAAAATAAAATAAAAAAATAAAATAAAATAAAAAAAATATTATCAGACATACTGTGAAAGTTTCCTTGCTCTGTTAAACATCATTTGGGAAATATTTAAAGAAGAAAAAAACAAAGGGGGGCTAATGATTCTGACTTCAACTGTATCGCTGAAAACAATAAATATTGCAAAATCATTTCTTTCTCCTACAATAATCTGTTCACACTCGAATAGGTCACAATAATGAAACAAATTTGTTAGATTAGACTGTGGTAGAGTATGCCATTGACTGCACACCTACAGCGATACCATCATCTCTCTTTCGATTTCATAATGCGTGAAAGCCGTGTATATAAAAGCGTATGCCATTTAGCTATTATTAATCCACCTCACAACTCTGACTTGAGCTAATTTCCGGTTAGGCCTGTCAGTACTGAAGACAGACATACCTTGTGGCCTTTAAGCCCTGGTGGACCCCTAATGCCAGGTGGACCCTGAATGCCGTGCTCTCCATCGGAACCCTGTGGACACATATAGACAGTGCTTATACTGTTCCATTGTGTAGCATCATTATATGCATTGAGTAGTGCTTTTTTTTCAATAAAAATACAGCAAACAAAACACCACTTATATAAACATTTTTAAATCAAACTATTTTAAATACAGCTACTCTATGGCTTTGGAAGAATTGTACGATACGCTTGTTTTTTTTTTTTTTTTTTTTGGAAATAAGCTAATTTTACAAGTCACCTAGAGTTAAACTGTTGAGTTTTACCACTTTTTTAACCAATTAATTCAATCTTTGGGTCTGTCAGGAGCAATTTTAGCTTAGCATAGATCATTGAATCAGTTTAGACCGTTAGCATCTCACTCACAGATTTCAAAGAAAGCACTTTGGTAATTTCCTATTTAAAGCTTGATTCTTTCTGTAGCTAAATCATGTACTTAGACCAACAGGAAATTATAAGTTGTGATTTTTTTCCAGGCCGATATGGATAGGAACTATACTCTCATTCTGGTGTAATCAAGGAACTTTGTTGTTTTGCCATGGCTGCAATGATATTAGGCAGCGCAGTTACCTATTTACCTAGATGGGGACTATTTTCAGGCACTGCATAATATCATTGAGCCTGCTGAAACCATGGTATGGCAGTAATGTTCCTTAATTATTACGCCAGAATGAGAGTATAGTTCCTATAGCTGTATCAGCCAATAAAATAGCAACTTTTATTTTCTGTTAGTTTTAGTACACTACAGTAGTAACTACAGAAGAATCAAGCTTTAAATAGAAACAATTTCAAAATGCTTCTTTGAAATTTTTAAGCAAAGTGCTAACGGTCTAATCCGATTCAATGATGTATGCTAAGCTAAGCTAAAATTGCTCTCTCTAGACCCTGAGATCGGCTGAATGTATTAAAAAATGGTAAAACTCATCTGTTTACCTCTAAGGGAGTTGTAGAGTCTATGCAGTGTTCCTTAAATGTGTAAGGTGGTGCACATGGTTAAATAAGATTGACAACAATTTCAACTATATTAAATACATTCTCTTACTTTCAATTGCAGGTCTACATTAAATGATCATAATCTCAAATCTACTTTTTTTTTTTGAATCTGTTAAATCTTGGCCCACAACCAGAACTTACAGTATGTAAAATAAATGAAAGGTTACGGAACATTATGACTTAATGAAGGCTTAATATAGCATCTGCTATTCAAAGCTATTTCCTGAAGTTGTTAGAGAAAGCGCCAGGTATGCCACTAAAGAAGGTCATATCATATTTTAGGACTTTATGTGTGGAAATCCCCCTCCCAAACTCACTCACTTTAACACCAGGTGGTCCAGGAAGGCCGTCTTGTCCGCGAGACCCAGAATTCCCCTGTCAACAAATAACAGCTTCATGACATTTGAGTAATGTGTTACTGTATATAGTGTGATCACTTGACTTATGTATGAGCTGATGTAGAAAAACACACATTCCTGTATAAATTAAGTGATATTTTGGGCTTCCTTACACAGTTTATTTGGATAAGACAGTGGAGAGAATAGGCAGGCAAGCAGAAAAGGCTATATTTATTACTGGATATATTTACTTCACTTTGGAAAATAAATGAAAAATAGAAAACTTAAAAACTACACATAATTGGTAGGAATAACTTACCTTTGCTCCAGGGGGACCTTGAATGCCAGGTGGGCCAACTGGGCCGGGTGGTCCCTAAAAGACATATGAAGACGTTTTTATTAAGAAATTCTACAATAACACAAATATTGGTCATTGGTCATAATTTTTAAGGTACAATTCTCGCTATTAATAAACTATTAACCAAGACTTTTAGCTCTATAAACTATCAATTAGCTGCTTCTTAATAGTCAGTAAGCTAGTAGTTGGGTTAAAGTATTGTGTAGGATTATGTAGAATAAAATCGCTTTTCTCTTGCTTGCCTTTTTGTGTGTTTTTTGGCTTGTGTTGTGAGTTATTATGTTAATGTGACTTTAGAGCTTGATTTTGTTCTCCTTATAGTTTTGGTCGCTGTTACTGTCTTGTACTGTATACGTGTATTTGTTCGAATTCCCCTGGGAATTGAGGAGTTTAGATGTCACGTGACATACACCTCAACACGCAGAAAACTCCACTCTCTAAACACACTAGTTTAGAAATGAGTACCACACACTGTAAGATTTCTACGTATATTTTGTTAGAAAAGTAGTATTAGATATAGCGTGCAAACCAGTGGTGTAGTCCTTGCCATATGCACGTACTGTATACTATGCTTACTTTTTTCCACAAGCTGTTTGGGTATTACCACTTTTGATGATCAATAATTGCCTAAACCCTCGGTATACTCACTTGTTTTTCTGATTAAACATCCCTAATTTACGTGTATTCACGTCCCCTTTAACTGTCTGCCAAATGTTTATTTAACTCGCATCTTAATTTGTTGCAATTGGTGCACTTTTGTTTAATTTGCGCCATTCCCCACCCCCTGACGACCACAGTAACTGTAAGAAAATTTCGTGAGAGTTTTTCGAAGACCCCGACAAGTCAACTGAAAGATGTCTTGCTGAAACGTTCAGGTAAATTTATAAAACAGAATGGGCGTGGCTTTAGCCCTTCTACCTTTCTATTCAGTACCCTTAAAAGTTTTGTGATTTAGCTCATGAACTGTACACTATATGGTCGCCATTGTAATTATATAATAAAAAGAGTATAATTCCAGCTTCAGTCCCCTTTAAATTTGATATGAAAACGGCGGCAGACTTCCGCCGCTCCGTTTTCAGCTCGTTTTTCATTTAATTAACAAACCACCATATATATATATATATATATATATATATATATATATATATATATATATATATATATATATATATATAAACAAATTTTTCTTTGTTTAATCCAAAAGGATCTAATCCTGATCTGCCCTAAAATGAAAATCTTAAAATCGTCCCTGTAAACAGTAGTTCATATTTGTCTTAATCGTGCCTACTGCTACAGGGAATGACACTATTTTTAACCCTAAAAACGATAAGGCAAAGACTATACTCTTAAATCGCGTAACAATATGTGATTTAAAAGGGTAACTACTAGTATATAATAGCGACAACAGAAGAAAGACTCCTAATAGCTTGGTTTAAAACAAGCATGCACGAATGTGACAATCAAAAATAATGGCTGATTGATGTTTAAAAGAACCTATTAAATGTAAAGTTTAAGCCAGTAAAGAAAGGAAAGTAAGTTAAAAAGCTGTCTTTCAATGTATGCACAGGCCCTATTGAGTTAACTTCAATAAAAGTTAACTAAATTGTTGTAACTATCTTGATTTACTCTTTCTTCAACATTAAAATGATTAAATAATCTACATACTGTATACATACAGCCAATCTCAGAGTCTGTTGCGGGCACTATTAGCTGTATACACTGTTAGACATTTCTGTAAATTACACAGTTATTTACTGTATTTCACCCAGTATAATACTGCAAATTCCTTTTACAGTAAATAACTGTATTTACCGTTGCATTATGGGAATTCAGTGTGACGTCGAACAACATATACAGCGATGTACTGTATTTGTAAAAATTTGTGTATTATACTGTATTTTCCACAACTGCTTCGACGCCACCTTGCGGCAATTCGACTACTCTGCACCACATTTTGCCTGAGGAACCTGGAGCAATTCTGGAGGACAATTTATTAGCGTGCCTGACGAACATGCTGGATTTAACAAACTTTACTCTGGTAAGCTGAGGCAGTGTTTCATTTTACAGAATGTTTTGTGGACGAGAATAGATCAAAGTAATGTATAAAGTTGGCTAATATTATTTTCTCTGGCTTGGAGTTATTTTGCCCATTTGAGAAATATATCATCTATTAAGATTTTTTTTCCTTCATTTAGTTTATTACATTAACACTACTATTACTTTAAATAAGACTGTTTATGACTATTAGCTAGTGTTCTCGTCATATCTTTTTATTTATTTACATAGGAACCGGTGTTGCAGCGGGTTTTGGTTTAGGAGGGAACCAGAGGTATGCAGACAGTTTTGGAGGACACTTAGCACGAGACAACGGTCCGGCAGAGAGTATTTTCCCCCAGAAGAATATGAATGAAAGACCAACAAATAATCCAGGTAAAAGCGCGTCTGTCTGTGCTGACAACACTCGACATTGATTTGAGCACCTCTATAACTTGGTTAGCATTTGTTTGCCCGGCGACATTGAATGAAGCGATCCTAAAATGGTAACGTTAGCTAAACTGGGCTAAGTTTACACCGAATTGGACTCAAACTCATTTTAACGTGCAACGTTTAACTTATATTGATTTATACTATATATATTAGCTGTTGTGAACTTATTTTTCTCTGGTTTAGAGTAACTTATATCGTTAGTTTGAGAAAATAACTTCGCGACGTAACCTTTAATAACGTTAACGTAAATCTATACAATATGCATAGAGGTAAAGTTGGTTTTATATTCGCACATTCGTTCATTTAGAAGTCTCTATACTGTTTACCATGTTACTTTAAATATTCGATCAGAATTAGCATGCCAGTATGACTTGAAATCAACATTAACATTGTTTATTTGACCTTGAGCATGTTGTACTTTGATAGTCATTGGCTGCTAATATGATTTCGCTATTTAGAGTTGCAAATAATACTTTTATGAAATTAAATTATTAAGGGGGAAGTCTGAATCTGCTAAAATAAAACCAACTTTACCTTTATACATTATGCTAATAACCACCTTTTGGCTATTTATTGTTTGCTAATTTTTTTTTTATTATTTTATCACAACTCTTGACATTTGGTTTAACATAATTGTTACCATTATATTTTTTTCTGTTTAGATATGGCACTGACACAGCAGCAGGTTTTGGCTGAAGAAGAAAACAGCATTTCGGAGGAACATCTTGATCAGCACAGCCTTATGCTTAAAAATAAGCAAGACCAGTAAGCAACCAAGGTAAACTAATAAAAAAAAAAGTTGTGTGGAGGTTGTGGATTGTAGCAAGGTATTCTTATCTGTATTTTTGGCTTTTTTATAGTTTCAATATAGAATACTGGGAACTTGCCTGTGCAAACTGGACCTCATACAACAGTAAGTACTGTACATTTATTTGTTTCTCAATATAGTAATGTTACTTTTAATACAAAATGTGTCACATGTTTAGTTGCTAGCTAAATAAAAGATTTGTTTCCCTTTTTAATAAACCATTTAGTAGGTTTTTTTTCATCTTTGTTTATAATATTTTTGAGCAGATTGAGGTCTGTCATGGGTCAGACATTTCGTAATATAATAATTATTATTGGGATACATGCATTTGTCTATGTATTAAAAGTCTTTTTCCCCATTTCATGTTGCCTAATTTTTTTTTTTGTATAAATAATTCCAGAGGATGAAACAAAATGCACAGCAACAACCAGAGTGAGCCAGAAGAAGGCAGGAGAAGTAATGAAGAGAATGACAACCATGAACAACAGTGTGTTATCCTTCTTTCACCAGCTAACTGAGAACTTGGATTAGGTGAGACACTCTCAATAGTTGTATCAGTATTCAGTCTGTTTTAGTTTATTAGGAATACATAAAACAAATTGTCTAATCTGTCCTGCAGTTAATCAACCCATCATAAATGCTACAATGTTTTTGTAAAACCTTGTTGGGGAAAAAAAATAACAGGACATTCTGGTTAGTTATCTTTTAAACATGGTAGTGAGCAGGTTTTGAGCAGGAGCCAGTTGCTCAGTACCAACTGAAAACTAGCCCAACCCAGCTGCCATGCTTCAAAATAATTAACCAGTATATGATTTATTTTTTTTTAAACAAGCTTCTTCTATGCTCATGTTAGTCTGTTTCTCCTTATCCAGAGTTCTTCATAATCCTGGACTGGGCCAAATCCTGACCAGATGCTGTGGTGGTCATGGAGGAGTGAATCCTAAAAGACACACGTGATCAATGCGTTTCCGCATTGATCCAATGGGCCAGCCTGACCACCCGCTGGTGAACTTTCAAGCCTCCGGTGCCTAGACTGCGGCCTTGCACAAGTTTGGCTAGAGGAGAACTGGTCTTGCCCAACTGAGCCTGGTTTCACTCAAGGGCTTTTATTCTACACTTTCGTCAGTTAGTGAAGTTTGTTCCATGCCACTGTCGCCACTTGTTCACTTGGCTTCGATTGGTGGATCGGTGGATTTGCTCTTCAGTGTTTGGACTTTCAGCAGTAACATTTACTGCTTCAATTCTGAAAACTGGACTGAAGCAGCTTCAATTTACAAGAACTTCTATGTTAAGCTGCTTTGACATCATTGATCTACAGTGTAAAAGTGCAATAGAACTAAAGATGAATTGCATTTGAACATGTGAATTCAGACCTTGTTGATCATTTGACACCAGAATTTGTAATATTTTAAAGTTGGGTTGTTTCTGAGTCGGCTAATAGTTACAAATATTTATTTTTCCAAAAATATGCAATTCAGACGTTTAAATTATTAATGTACATGTATGTTCTAGTGCTTTGTGTAATTTATTTATTTTTAATCTGTTGATTTTAATGCTTAATGTAATTTTCACACATTTTCCTTAAATGCTTTAAGCATTATTAATGTTTTAAAGAATGGAATATTTTGTAATTGTGTCTGGTTTAATGTCAGTAGTACATAGTACAATTGGGTTTTTTTTTCTCTCAACAATATGCAGGTCAGACACTTAAATTAGTTTT